GCTCCTCCTCCTCCTCCTCCTCCTCCTCCTCCTCCTCCTCCTCCTTCCGCCCTAGAACAGCCGCTTCCGAGAGCACTGGGTTGGCACGGTGGTGGGACTTGCCGCAGGCAGCTGGAGTCATGGCACCAGAAGACGTACTCTAGGTTTCTTAATAAGCGTGGGGGGGGGCCCGACGGGGGTCAACCTCGCCTCGTCGTTGCGCCGCGACGGGGGTCGGAGCGCCTTCGGCGCGCGGTGGCTGCCCGCGACCGGGGTCGATGTGAGGCTGTCGGCGGGGGTGACGCCCCCCCGACGCTTATCAAGAAACTCGGAATAGGGGGAGGAACGCCCGCACCCGCGCTGCCGCTGTGCAACGAGCCTACCGTGGGGAAACCAAAAGGTACCAATACCGCGACCTTCTGGACCTCTCCTGGGGTGCGCTCGGACCAGGAGTTCGAAGCGAATCCGGCGGTGGCGACGAGGGCCGCCCAGGAGGCCCAAGAAGGGGGAAACGGGCGAAGGGTAGAGGTATGGGGGCCGCTTCCTCCTCTGAACAACGAGCCTGCCGGGCGCGAGCCGTCCCGCCTGCCGCCCCCAACCCGAAGCCACCTCTGGTGCGCGAGAAAGGGCGCATAGATGATAGATAATGCACCTGTACGCCACCTCCACGCCCTCGCGCGCACGAGCGACTGCGCTCTCAAGCGCAGGCCAGCGGAAAGACGGACCGCGCACGTGCGCAGGCGCTGCTCGGCCTCTGAGCTGCGTCGGCGCAACGCCCCGTCGGGGGCCCGGGAGCCTCTCGCGCGCGCGCCTTCTTCTTTGCAGAGCGCACATCGAGACCCGCTGCCCCCCGCCCGACTGCCCCCTGTGGAGGCTGTCTGCGCAGACACGCCCGAAGGCGGTGGCCTTCGCGCTCGTCTGCGACTGCCCCGACGACTTCACGCAGGGCGGCGGCGGTTGCGGCGGCGGCTGCTGCGGCGGCTGCGGCGGCGGCTGCGGCGGCGGCTTCCACGAGCACCGGCCGGGGCTGGGGGAGCTCTTCGCCTGGGGCCGCCTGGGAACACCCTGGAGCGCCTGGGAGCGCCTGGGAGCGCCTCGGAGCGCCTGGGAGCGCCTGGGAGCGCGTTGGGAAGCGCTTGGGAAGCGCCTGGGGGCGCCTGGGAGCTCCCGAGAAGTTAAGCGCCCGAGAGCGACGACGACGGCGACGACGGCGACGACGACGACGACGACGACGACGGCGACGACGGCGACGACGACGACGACGACGACGACGACGCTCGGCCCGGGGCCGCGCCTGCACGACCACCGCGCCGCGGAAGGCCCGCACGGCCTCGCTCCGCAGCGCGGCGTCGAAGTAGCGCACCCACCCGCGGCAGCCCGCCGCCAGCGCCTCGTCGAGCACCACGGCCTGGGGCCTCGCCGCCGCCAGCGCCGCCGCGACGGCCGCCGCGTGCGCGGCGGGCGCCGACCCCACGCCCGCGAGGTGCGGCCCGAGGCTCAAGCCCCTGCAAGCGGGGCGTCAGTGAACGGGTGGTGGCTAAGGCCCTCGTCAAGAGAGGACGGAGCGACAGGGCATTCACCTCGCACTCGTGCGCGATAAGCAGGGGCGACAACAGCGTCGACGCATCATCACTACTCTGTGCAAAGGGGGGGGACCTCGCACGTGTGTGCGCGGCAAATCCGTTGTTTGCTAGCACCACTGAAAACGCACTCTTGGCTATGTACCGCCCCGTTTACTAACTTTGGAGGCCTGGAAACGGGCACCAACACCAACACAGCGGGTTTGCCTTCACAGGGGGAAGATGATCCTAGCTTTCGGCGTTGGCAGTAATACTACGGTCATCTCGGCAGCCAGAATATCACCACCATCGCCGAGATCGGGATCTTCTTCCCTCGGTGGAGGCACACCGCCGGTATTGGTGTTGGTGTCAACCTCTAGGCCTGCGACAACGCCCCGCTTGCAGGGGCTTGGGAGGTGCAGCGCGGAGAGGGCGTCGACGTGCATGACCTCGGGAGAAAAACAACACTGCGGGCACGCACTGGGACAGGCCAGGCCCAGGCCCAGGCCCGGGACCGCTGCACACGCCCTTCGGGCCC